CCAGATTTCTGATTCGCTTCTGTCTGCTACGCTGATGTGCAAGTAAAACATAAGTGATTTTCTTAAGAAACTTTTCAGTACTGGAGTACATCCCATTCTCCCTAATGTTCATGTGCAATTTCCTTTCAACGAGGCAAGTGCAAATTATTGCACATTCATGTACTTTCTGAGCATCGTACACAACCCTCACTAACATTGCTGCCATCTGAAATCTTACTCAAGACAACAGATATCAAATGATTTGGTATTTCTCAGCTAGGAGCTGCTAAATCCTGTTCAATCTGCTTCTTAATTAAGACTTGGTGATTCTTCTATTCTAATTGCCCTATAATTGCTAAAGCAATTAGCTTGATGTCAATTTTGATTCAGCTTCATTCAGCGCAGTTGACAGTGAGACACTACAGCAGGGCTGTAGGTGGGCACGCACCACCTGTGCCAATGGTGCACCCGCTTTGTTTTCCAAGGGCAACTTTTTTTTGAACACAGGGAAGCTCCTTGGGTCTTCTGCCGGGGCTTAATAACTTCCTGCAATGCTCCTTGTGAGCACACAGCATAAAACAGGCTCAGCAGCAGAGCTGCCGGTGCTGGAAATGGAGGAAGGCGTGGCTTCCAGAAAGCAGAGAAAGATGTGAAGTCGTGGGGACGTGGAGAAGTTTAGGCTCACAGACAGAGTGGAGAAAGTGTCAGCAGGCACAAAGAGCTAGCTTCTGAGAGAAAGGCAGGAGTACGAGAGAACAAGCAAGGGGATGACACTGACACGGAGACACCCCCAGGCTGCAGTACCTGCTTTCCCCGTGATGTGAACGTGGAGCACTGCCACGGTGGCCCTACACAAGTGCTGACAGATCCTGATGATGGCCCTGCCACGAACAGAACTCTCTTGGTGTCGCACTCTGTTTATGTCCCTGCACACAGCAGGGACGAACCACGGCTAAATTCAGCGCCGGGTTTTGGAGCCTGCCCCATCCCTGCCGTGGGAAGCTCTGGCCCCGGCTGCAGCTCTGGCTGCAGAGACGTGAGGGGGCTGCCAACGGCTACGCGGCTGCCTCCAAAAACATTAGAAAAGTGTGAGTCCTGCTGATACAGGAGCTCTTTACGGCTTCAAAACAGCGCAGGCCACGCGGGTCGGGGCTGACCGCGTGGCACCTTCCCGCACATGCAAAGCCATGCAAAGTGGAGCTGCGGGCGTTTCGGGTGCGCTGCAGCGTGCATGAGCGGCATCAGCCCCAGGACTGGCTGCACGGGAAATAACGACAGCGCTCTGACGGCGAGATACTATTTCTGTTTGGCTTTTTGGCTTTCAGGCGCAGGAACTGCGGGATGTTATGGCAATCTGCAAAAGTGCTAATCAGACAGCAAATTTCAAAGAGGGGAAAGAAGGGCTGGCAGGCAGCGACTAGAGATAAAATGGCAAACTTGGAAACCTCAAGCATTGTTCGGAAAACTCATCTGGAAACAAATCAAAACTGTCTTTGGACTTGGCTAGTTGGGAGAAAGGAAGTTTAACTAGAAGAGATCAGTGCTGATTCAGAACAAAAAATACTTAAAAAAAACACAGTCTGGGGCCTTTTTTCCTCCTATTGTGAATGTATTTTAATGAGACTTCATTTTCATTTTTGACTGAACTGTTACGGGCTCTTAAAGCTACCCAGGGCACTGAAATAACTTTGCAGTAATGGAAAGCACAGGTCAGGCTGGCATTACTTGAACTGTTTCACGCACGATGAGCGTGGGAGGGCCTGGTTTTTATATGCTTGGGAAAAAAAAAAGGTTTAGAGCACAGACTGGATTCACATGTTGCTGCCCTATTAACAAGGCTGACAAGTCATTAGAGATGTCCTCCCAGGAACACGTTACAGCCATTTCCAACATGTCTTGGAGAGGCTGGGGTGGGAAAAGCACAGAAAACAGCTGCTTATCCCAAATGCCTGCTAATTCTGGGATCATTATCTATTTGTATTCTGTGAAGAACCAAACCTCTGCTCCATCCCACATGCAGAACTTTGGGAAGTTTGGACTCAGACCTAAAAGCTGAATTTCAGGACCTTAATTTTCCTTTAACTCCTGGTCCCCTGATCCTGTTAGGAGCCAGGCACAATGGTACCACAGTATCTCATGGGGAAGACTTTTTTTGCAGCATTTTCCACCAAACCTGTAGCAGAAAGTAGAGACATGGACCATTTTAGCTACGATTCTCACTCAGTTCTGCAGAAACGGAGGTCTGCATCGACTGTGCAAATGCTGCAGGTTTCCTCTGAATCGAGTCCCAAGCAGCAAGCCTCCTGCTAGTTCTTCATCGTATCTCCTGCACGCACCGAGCCAAACCTCCCCGTCACAGTGGTGACTCCATTGCCTTCAGGTGCCCTCCACATGTTCAGACCACTAGTGACTGTGGCCTGCAGCTCCTTCCCAGCTGAAGACAGCTCCTTCAAATCATTTTCCCCCAAAACACAAATGGACGGACTGTTAGGCAGAGCATTAATACGAAACAAATGTTTCGAGCATGTAGCGTTGACTTACAAGGGAAAATACAAGCACTTGGAATTTTTCCACTGCACAACGGCAGGGACCTTTGCAGCAGCTGTTTCGAATAGATGTTGTGATTAATGGGGATAATTCAGGAATGAAAACCAGACCCATCGTCACACGTCTGACAGACCAGTGCTACAGGCAGGCGGGCAGCCTTTTTTTTTTTAACCATGAAATGCCTCTCTGAAGGCAACAGAGTTTAATCCAGAGGAACGCAAGGCACATGGGAGGCGTTTGACTATCGCTAGTGTTTAAATCACAGCCCTGAGCTGAAAGCAGCCCGCGTGTAAGGAGGTGCTGTCTGTCTGACTGCAGCGGCTCTGTGCTCATTTGTGCAGCGGGGAAGATCCCGGCTCTGCTGATCCGGACCGAGAACCCCCGTCCCTTTGCACAGCTGAGCTGGTGTCTGCCTGGGGCAGTGAAAGGGCCTCTTCGGACATTTCTGTCTGATCCATTCTCTTCCTCCTCCGTATTTCAGCAGGCAGTATGGTTTCTCCTCTGATCAGGTCCCTCACCCTCACTGTGGAGCACATATGATGTGAAAGTCTCTTGGAAATCAACTCTTTATTGCGCTCTAGTACGGAAAGTGTTTGCTTTTCAGAAACGGGAAACAGGCTGTGGTAGAAAGTGCCGTGATGGTCTTCACTGCCACGGCTTCAGGCTGAGCATGTGGGGCAAGGAGGGGGACTGCAAACCCAGCGTGCAATGTCAGCCCCTGCTGAGGACCTATCCACAGGTGGATGGAAACACAGATTCAGCTGGTGGCCTGTCAGCTCTGCAAAGGGCCACCACCGGCCCGCAGACCCGCTCCCATCCGTCCCTGTCCTTCCTCCTCCCTTCGCGGGGCAGGCCAGGGCCGCACGGCACAGGAAAGCCAGCTCATGGCTCACACCAGCATCGTCCACACCGCCCCAGCCGCAGGACGGCCACCGGCCCCACCACAGACCATGGACAAGCCTGCGGTGACGGGCACCTCCCTGCCAGGCACCCCCGGGAAGGGCGGCGTGCTGGCACTCGGGAGCTCTTCACCATTAATTAGCTATGTAACATGCCTAAGTCTTCAGGCCCTCGTGGTAAGACTTGACTTTCTTTCCTCTTTTTTTTTTTTTTCCCCCTGAGAAGGCTTTCTTGCACAATGTCCATTTTTAGCACAAACTGGAGTTGGATCAGATGCCTCACATGTGGTCTCCACTCTCCAAAAGGAGAGATCAGCACTTTTTTTTCCTCCAATGGTTTAACTACAGGCACAAAACCCAAAGATTAAAAAAAAATAATTCACTAATTCACTCTTTTCTGCTCTTGCAGGCTGGATAGTTGTGCTGCATCGGCACAGCCATCCTCATTCGCTCCTGTAACTTTTCTTTCATTATACTGGCTAATTATTTGAGCTAAAATGAAAGATTATGAACTACAAAACCACAGGCTTTAGGACAAAAAGCGATCCTCAGCTGGGATCAGAAGACATTATGATATGTACGAGGACAATACAGTATTGCTTCTGTGGCTATAGCAAACACTTTGGGAAAAGAGATTTTTCAAAGGCTTTTTCAAGGCTCTCCCCTGTGAGTATAATGGGGTGTCCTCCAATTAACTGCCATGGAATCAATTAAGTTATTGCTCAATTCTTCTGGGAAATTCCAACCAGAACTGGCAAATGTTGGAGATAAAGCACTGAGCAGATGGACTGCTGATGTGCTCTGAGATGCCAAATTTATTCCTTTTCGTTACCGTCAGAGGACAGTCAGGCTCCTGGGACAGACATCCCACCTCTCCTGCTAAGATCTGTCCGGCCAGTGCGCAACCACAAGGATGCCATGCGCGAGAAGCCCCACACACCAAGGGGCAGTGGCACGGAGCAGCCCCGGCTCCGATGCCACCATCCCTCCCGACAGCCGGGCTCTTGCGCTTAAGACAGACAGTGCTGAACTGGCTGGTGACCATCAGCGCGGCTGCGCGAGCTGGTCAGGGAAAACAACAAATAGCTGGAACGATTTCCAAAACCTCAAGCCATTCTGGTTGTTTTTCAACTCCCCTACAGCTCTCTTCTCAAGCATGGTGAAAGCGTTCGTTTGTGCTCTGGCCTTAGGAAAGGCCTGCCACCAAGTCTGATCTCACCAAATCCCCAGGCAGAAGTGGAGCAGCAACTGAACTTAAGGTTGCTTTTCCACACTTGAACCTTTCAAGACACTGGAGTTTGTCAACCATTAGTGACCGTTCAAGTGGCAATGCTGGCAGGTATTTAGGTCCCCAGCTGTCCCACGCATCCCTCGTTACCGCTGCACACAGTGAACTCACACCCACAACAGCAGTGATCTGGTTCTCTTACTCTGAGATAGCTGTACATGCAGATGGACATCCAGTTCGTGAGCATCTTCTCCACCACAGATTCCGTTCTCCTCAGCATTAACTTGGGGTTTTTGGAAGCTGAAGCATCTATTAGATCCACCAAGAGGTCCTTCATGATGCTGGTGTAATACTCCAGTTTCCCATGCAACGCAATAGTAAGCAGGGAGGCCAGGTTACACCTGAAACACAGAACTGTGTATGACTCAACCACCAATACAACAAGACTAAACTGCCGACTGGCATTAAAAAACCCCAAAACACAAAGGCAGCATTTCAGACAATTTTCATGAGCCTTCTCAACAGTGTTAAAACTTCAAACCCTCTTTCAGTGCTGCAGGACCTTGGGTCAGCTGGCACCCTCTTACTGGTAACCCAAACTAAGTGTTCAGGGATACAAAAGCTCATGAGTGTCACTTGTATTTTTAGTGCTCTTCAGGTTAATGGAGGTTTATGGCTGTCCATTTCCAATAGAAAAGTGGGAGGCAAGTGCAACTCAACATTCAACTGAAATGCACGGCTCCAAACATGGGCTGGATTGCTTACAAGTTAGGAATAAATCAGTCTCCTCCAGCTGCCAGGTCTTTGGTTCTGAAGCTCATACCTGTCTCTGACAGCAAAGTCCTTCTGTTGCTCAAGAGCATGGACAAACACGATGAGAAAGTGCTTGTTGTTGAGTAAGGTGGAGAACAGCGAGATTCCTTCTTCCATATTGGGTCTGCAGTTTTCAGGGATCTAATGAAAAATTTAGAAAGCAAAGTGAGAAAACCCCTGCTTGTTGTTTTCCTCCAGCTTTTATCCTTCCTGACTGCAAGGATGTCCCCGTTGAACGCGGAGGCACTGAGCTGAAGACCCCTTACTCCCTCTGCTTGACACAAGTCAGCAACATGCTTTCACGGCAACGGCATGACTGCGTCCGGGGCTGTATCAGAAGCAGCTCGGCCAGCGGGGCAGTAGCCATTCAGCACTTGTGAGGCTACCTGGAGTGCCATGGCCAGTTTTGGGCTCCCTGCTACGTTGGCAAACTGGAGCAAGGGGAGATCTTACTGCAATCTTCAGCTGCCCCATGGGAGGGCAGAGAAGGCAGAGCCAGGCTCTTCTCTGCTGCCGCAGTGCTAGGACGAGAGGCAAGGCACACCAGATGGACCGTGGGACACTGATTAAATATAAGGAAGGAAGTTTTCACCTTTAAGGTGGTCGGACACTGGAAGGGGGCCCCGAGAGGCTGTGAAATTTCCATCCTTGAAGATAGTTAACACAGCTGGACAAGGCCCTCAGCAACCTCATCTAGTTGGAGCTGCTTTAAGCAGATCTCCCTGCCAACTCAACGGACTCTCTGATTCTTCAGTTCCTATTTGGTGTCCACATGAAACCCAGCTCTGGGACAACAACAGCTTTTACCAAGTCCCTGCTTGGGAAGAATCTCTTTTATGATGAACTGCTTATGGGTCTGAAGTGACATACAACACGATACACCCAGGAAGAAAAGCCCATACCAGAGCAGGGGAGGATCTCAGGACAATGCTCCTTCATGCGAGAGCAGAGCCACAGATCTGCCTTCTCCAATCAGCCAAAGCTGATCCAATGCTGTTATGTGTTAATTAGTTTGAATGATCAAGCATCTCCCACGCACCACAAGAAAAAGCATGGCATTGTCAACACACGCTAGTACGGTTCGCAACCACTCAAGAGCATTTGTTTTGTTAGTGGGTTACTCACTTTCCATTCCCCCACCAGGAGCGGATGAGTTTCCTGGACCTGGGACCCCACCTGGGAGCTGAGCTGCTGGGACGGCAGGATGTAACACTCCTCGTAGAGCGAGGAACACTGCAACCAAGCACAGCATTAGGGGAGGGCAGCTGCACCCGGCCGGGGACCTCCTCGTTTGCCCGTGCACCACAAGGGAACGAGACAGAGAGACATGTCATCAGGGAAGATGGCTGAAGACCACCCATTATGAAGAAATGCATTGATATGGTTTACGAAGCCTTTAAATACTTTGCAAGCGCCTCTTGAATGAGCAAACACCACAAGAATGGGAGGAGGCAGATGTCTGTGCAGACACAAGCCTGTTAGGGTAGGGAGACTGCAAATAGACTCATTTGACAGCTAGAAAAATCCCAGAAGAGAAAGCATTATAGAAGACTAAGTCAAAATAGAGGAGTACTGGGTGTTTTAACATATGTAACTTTTGAAACAGATGGGAAGAATGTTTAAATCTCTAACATTCATACAGCAGCCTAAATCTTAAAGACTTCAGTGCACAGATACATAGAGATTGGATAACTCAAAAACCTGAGTAATAACTACTAATGAAACACTCTGCAGTCATAAATCATCATCTCACTCCTCACCACTGAAATGCAACTGCCTCAGGGGTGAAATACAGCCACTGCTAAGGGCGCACAGTGACACAGCGGAGCAGCCGGTGATGGGAATTATGGCACCGGCGCGTCTGGCGCAGCCCTGGAGGAGGACTCTGGGTAGACAGACTGGGACTGGGCGCCCAAGGGGCGTCTTACTGGGAGCATCACGTGCGCAGCCTTTGACACAGAGAGGAGCAATGGGCAGGCAGAGACATCTGACAAGCTCCTGAGGACCGGCAGAGCAGCTGGGAATGCTCGGTGGCATGCTGCGTGGAACAAAGAACCCCCTCTCCCTGAACGCCCTTCAGCCACCCTTCAGCCTCATCCTCCACCAGAGCAGGGTGACATTGGAGCCCCTGGGGAGAAGGGGGGGCCTCCAGCACTTTCTGCTCATGCCAGAGAGCGCTTTCGGAAGAGGGTGTCCAACGGCATCAAACGGGCGAGCCAGAGCGACTCCCGGGATGGTGCTGCCGCTGGGCTCCTATCATGTGCAAGCAAGCCTGACCTTACTTCACACCCCAGGAGCTGTGGCTCCACTTCTGACGATAATTGAGGCTGAAATACGTGACAACTAAATATACAACAGTGGAATTATTTTATTACGCTGTAATAACCCTTTAGCAGAAGGAAAGCAGAGCCCTGATCTGGTTAGAAGGACCTGGGAGCAATTAGGTGCCCGTGAAACCGGTATCGCCTTACTTTGGGGAAGAACGTCCGGGTGACAAAGTGCTTGTACTCCAGGAACGGGATCCCCTGGCTGCGGTTTAACTCCTTGGTCAGGTCTGTCATGTCTGTCTGCAGTTCCGCAAAACCTTACACAAAGAGACCCGCAGATGGTAAGAGCTCCGATACTCTACCAGCTGAGACAGCAAGCAGGCTGGCACTGAAATACGTGGCGTGTCTCATCTCTGCCTCCTCAAGCCTTTCCCTCGAGTGGGCTGAAGCAGGGTTTCTCGAGGAGCAGCAGATTACCGTCAGGGTTTAACCGTCAGCACTACACATCACATCCCGCAGCACTGACAGCGTCTCCCCTCCCTCCAGCCCCCAGCCTGGCTCTGCAGGAGGAGACCTCAGCCCACAATGCAGGGGGACAGCAGATGCAGACGCTTGGGTTGCTTCTCCCATAGCTCTAGCAGGAGCGTGCTGCAATTTTTGTTGCACTGAATCGTAAAGCACACTAAAGATTAGTGTGGCCTTCAGGCAACCCTCTGGCATGGCCGAAGGCCGTTACCCCGAGACAGGGAAAGCAGTGGCACTCATGATCAGTGGCTTGCCCAAGTCAGATCAGCAAGGCAGCGGCAGAACCACACTTCCAGCCACTGAGCCTCGCTCACAAACCCTGCCGAAGCTCGAAGGCGATCACAGAAATTCTCCTATAACAATTCCATAAACTTCTACAGAACAGAAGGTGAACAGCTTCAACCCTGCTATTACAGCATCTCCCTCCTAGCCCTGGCTCCTCCTCGGTGCCTAGCATGGTGACTTACCTTTGCGGATTTCCTCCCGGATCTGCGACTCCATCTCCTCCATCTGGAGCAGGGTTTTCTGCCAGTAGCGCTCCGCTCTGCGGCTCTTTGTGCAAAACACAAAGAGAGCTGGAAAAGAGGAAGGGAACAAGCCTTTTGGACTAGGGTTTAGGAGCAGCTGCAGCTGGGATCAGAGCAGTCCTCTGCTGACACGGGTGCAGAAAGCTAAACTCAGTGTTGGTTTAACACCTACAACGAGACTGCTATCTGATCAGGCAGTTGTTGATTATCTGTAAATAAGTAAAACCAGCTGGAATTTAATGATCATGCTGTAACTGTCATCTTCAGTTTAGGTCTGGGCTGTCTATATTCAGCTTAGCTGTATATTAATGTGTTCCAGCTGATTAATGAATACAGATTTTAAGACATTTACCACCTGTATTACAGTGCTCATGTCTGACAGCCTTCCCATGCCTCCAGAAATATGTTTCTAATGATGGGTGGTGCATTTAATAAATAGTGTGCATTACAACCTTTATTAAAAATAAATTAAATCTCTATTAAGAAACACCTCATTTGCTGTGAACTGACAGGTTTCTTGCTACACAGTCATTCTGGGCATGCGGCGAGAAGGTACCCTAGCCAGAGAACACAGGTGTGTTGCACAGCTTCCAGTGAGGTTAGCAAACTGTTGTGTCTGCTCCAGATCTGCAGCTAAGGACTTGCTCTGTTCTTCACACTCTTTGCCAGGCGCCTGTCACTGGCTGGTTCTGATGACAGGACCTGGCTGTTACTGATGACAGGACCTCGGGCTAGGTGGACCTTTGGGACGGTCTGGGACAGCCATGCCTGTGAGTGAGCCCTGTTCAAGTCAGTGCAAGTCCAAGACCAGTTTCTCACACTGTTCTTTATTTGGTATTATAGTAGCTACTAAGTGTTTTGGGGAAAAAGATAAGTTTATAAATATCACATGCTCAAGTAATAGAGCTGAACTATGGATTCAGCCAGCAAACACTCCACGCTGCAGGAAGCTTTGACCCTGGCTTGGTCCTGTACAAAGAAGAGTGCCCACTTGCTGCAGCCAGCCCAGTTTCAGACACTGCACAACCGCAGCACTCAGAGGTTTCCTAACGTGTGAGTGTGTCATCCTCACCCCTCCATATGCAATGAGAAAAAAAACCTCGGTACAGCCTGGAAACTCATTGTTCTGTTCCCTTACCTACGACAGAGAGGACCAGCAAGATGCTGCAGATGACAATGGAGACGATGATTGCGGTCTCTCCTCCCCCAAGGTGCAGCATCGCAATTGTGTAGTTGAACTTTCCAACTTGGATCTAGAGAGGGAGAAAGAGGGAGGAAAAGCAGGAGCTGAGCAGCGTCTCTGAGGTCAAGCAAGGAGGGACTACGGGGCAGACCTTCACCCCGGGACGTACTGACCACGCTGGCTCAGCCCACCAGGCTCTGCGGGGAGGCTGGGCTCTGCCTTTCACTGCTGCACCTCCAGGACTCTGTGTGTCTCAAAAGAGCCCAATTCCCTTCCTGCGTGCTCTGGTGGAAAGCTGAGGCTGTCTCACGGCAGGCTGCATACTGCAGTAGTGCTCATCCTAGGGCCACCACAGGACTTCGGTGGCAGAGCCGCAGGCTCTAGCCCATGTCACGGCCCCACCGTACCCACCCCAGAGCACGAGACCACCCTTTCTTAGAGCTCATCATACCATATAGCACTGCCTGTGCTGCTTTTACTAGAAAACCACTTCCACTAATCATCCGACTGTTATGCGTTGGAATGGCCTTTGGATCCCAGCTGCACTTGCTCCTCCAAAAGCAGAACTGCTGCCACTCAGAAGGAGGGTAAAGAAACTTTAAAGTCTTTGAAATACAAATAAAGTAAGGGAATAAAAATAAATAATAATGAGACCAGAGATGAGTCATGATCTTGAGGCTAAAGCAGTGGACTGGGTGTCAGGAGGTGCTGGCTCTTCTCCCAACCCGTACTTCTTGTGACACCAAGCACAAACCACTTGAGCTCAGTCCCTTGGTCTCCTGATCACCGGAAGGGAAGAGGCCAATGCACATCACAGGCAGGTTGGCAAGTTTACTTGGCGCTGTTTATAAAAGGCTCTCTAGGCCCCTGGGATGAAAGCCTTCAGCAGCAGCATCTGATAAGGAAAACTCATGACCACACAAATCTTTCACTTCTGGAAATATGAGTTTCACTTCTCTCAAGGAATGAGAAGCGAGAGTAACTTGAGCAAAAAATCCTGAAACAAGGTAGGGAAGAGATGGAATAATCTTATGATTACATCTGTGTCACAGAGCACCTCTGGGAAAGGTGCACACTGTGGTTAAATTACAGTCAGTTCTCAGCAGATGGGCCAAAGTAGTGCCACAAGCAGGGCCTTCCCACCACGTCCACACATCAAACACCCTGTAACGCACAGCTCCGTGCCCTCCGGGAAATCCAAGTCCTTGCTCTTGGGAGCACTGGTGAGGGCACTGATGCTTCCAGCTGAAGGCATCTGGAGGAGCCCGGAGGTCTGCCCCTGCGCTGCTCCTCCACAGGCAAGCGAGGAAGGACTGCCCTGTCACGGGCAACGCCAGCTGCCATCACCCAGGATCAGGAAAACCTTCAATGCCTCCAACCATCAGCGCTGGACCACACGGCCGGGTTCCTGTGGCTCCAAGGCCCACTGTGCCCTTGTACCAGCCCTCAGATGGACTCTGGGACTGGCAGTTTCTGGGGTGGTGCCTGCAGGCAGCATCCAACACTAAGAGCTTCCGTCTCCTCCCCGGTGTGTGCTGGCTGAGAGCCGAGATGCTGGGTGAGGACAGGGAGCCACAAGCGCCGTGCAAGCATCTGCGGAGGTTCGTTTGACAGTCTGCACAGCACCCTGCCTAACCTCAAGATTTCCACCTCTTTCGTCTGAAATACTGCAATGAGGCAAGTCCTCGATGCGTTTTGAATCTTTTTTTTTCCCCAACAACTCAACCTTTTGCATTTGCCAGAGGAGAAATCCCACACTTGCTGTTTAATTCTGTGTTTAAACAATTTGGTCATGAACAAAAATGGGTTTGAAGGCCTCGGCAAGCTTCTCTTGTTTATTTGGACAGGCATACTCAATATATTTTTTTGTAAGGGGAATTAATTAGGCTGCAGGCTAAATGGCAACATTTCCTGTCACCGGCATGTAGGGGGCTGCAGAAGGGGCCAGGGCTGGAGGACACCCCGCTCCCGGGAAGAGCTGTCAGTGCTGGGCAGGACTTTGGGGCACAGGGCCACCTCAGGGGTCACTGGGAACCACACTCTGGCTTACGGGATGGAGCCGTCTTGCAGCCTCCCAGGGTGTGAATGGGGTCCCCTTTGGACTAAACTAGACCAGAATCAAGCTCCAGCTCACCTAAGGCACTCCCAAAAGAGCTATTCGAAAGTGACCCCCAAGACACAGGGAGGCTCAGGAGCCCCATCTTCATCACCGGTTCCTTGTCTCTACAGACAACTCTTGCTGCCTTCTGTGACTTGCTAACACAGACCTGGCCCAAGAACACCTTTACAGAACAGGCATACCCAAAATCATGGGCAGCATTAGGATCAACAGTGGGGCACGTTTTAAAGGGCTGCTTTCCTGTGCTCTGATCAGTGCAGGCGTGAGCTCTACCATCTAAACAAGAACAAACTGGGCAGTCACAACAGGCTTCTCAGCTTGCCAGAAGAGAATCTTCATCAGCAGGCGAGGCTTCTGCAGCCCCCGACAGCTGTCCTTGATGCAAATCAGGCAGGGACCCTGTGCAAGCCTGGCCCCGTGCTATCAAAGCTATCACAAGCATGTTATAAAGGCAGCTGTTGCCTGTGAAATGGCCAGCAGGCGATAACTCGAACCACGTATGAAGGTTTAATAAGTGCACAGACGTGAATACACAATGATTATTTAGCTGCACTCTCACTGCTGGTACCCTCTTGACAGCTATGTGATACTTTAGGGCTGGGTATCATGCTCCTGCTTCCTAGGGACCTGCTAGGGCATTGCCTTCAATGTTTCATGTCAAACCAAGACTAGCAAACTCATAAATTCCTTTTCTTCCCCAAAGGGATTTCCCTGTTTCTCAGTTCTCACTAAAACCCAAATTACCCTATTTAAAATTTCCATTAAATGACTTGGGAAATTCTGCTACTTCTGCATTTCCATGTTTCCAGTTTGCAACAGAATTTCATACACGCAGACTCTGACCAGAAAACTGGACAATCCTGTCAGTGAACTGGTGGTGCATCTTCGTGCCTGTCTTCTGGGCAGCACAAGTCCACGGCCTCCTCCACTCCCTTCGCAGCCTTCCTCCTCCTCCCTGCCCAGGCCACAGGCTCCCACCCACTCACTGTTAACACATGCACTGGGAGGGGGGGCTGCAGCGTCTCAGACCATGGAGACAGAGGCGTTTGCTCTCCAGACGTGAAGAGCCATAGTCACATCCCTGTGTGGCAATGGGCTGCACATGAGACAAGGGAAGCTGAGGGCGAGAAGAGCTGTTAAGTCAAGCCCTCTATGGAGAAAAGGAAAGTAACAAAGTATTGTGAATTTTGCAGATGCAAAGATGAACAACAGCCCTGAACACCGAACTCTTTGCAGTGACAAAACGGCAGCTCTGGGAAGCAAGATGAAACCTTCCAGCCCTGAATACTCCTCTTGCCCTCCCCGGTCAGACACAAGGACCCATCTCCAGCGGCTTACTGCAGCTTGGTAGGGGTCGGATTCTCACGTCCACTTGTAGCTCTTCTGCTGGCAGTAGGAGGCCAGCTGACTGAAAACTGTATGGAAATCCCCAAACGTATCTCATGAGGGGCAGAAAGAAAATTACTGCAAGTGACGAAAACTCACATGCCAGGGATTTCACAGTGCCTTACAAGAACTGACAAAACTCCTCCCCTCCCAGTTACAGCACAGTTAACTCAGCAGGCAGCTGCTGGTGCCCCACAATTCGGAGCGTGGCAGCCCCTCTCCATGACTCAGGGCAGCCTTAGCACAGACTATGCCCGCAT